AACCGGCTCTTCAATATCTCCTGAGGGGTCCAAGATTGCAAGAGGCTCAGGCCAAGCTGAGGGGCCCCTCCAGTGCACGATTGGGGCTGGGGAGGGATGCAGGAAGACTCCGGGGCATGTCCAGCCTGTCTCACTCAGTCCTGATAGGCCAGACCCCAGCAGCAAGCTAACCTACCAGTCAGAGCATGTGCCCTCTGTTGGTCAGTGCACGTCATAGCAACTGGTCCACCAGTTGACTCTCTGCCCCCTGGGGGTCAGTGCACATCATAGTAAGCAGTTGAGTGGCCTCACCATATCATTAGCATATTACACTTTGATTGGTTGAATGGATGGCCAGAGACCGGACACTGAGCATATTAGGCTTTTATTATATAGGATATATATACACATACAAATGGAAATGAAGTCTTTCATTTGGGTATGCTGTATTGTATTTGTAGGTGTGAAATGTTTATAACTCTACAGGCTTATCTTTCTCCTTTATTGTTATTCTTTTTAGTACTTCTTAAATCCACATCTTTAAGACTTTTTTTTTATTGAAGTAAAATTGACATACAGCATTATATAAGTTTTAGGTATACAACATAATGATATACATTTCTGAGATTTTAATGTATGTAATTAAATAAAAGTTTGAAATAAATTGCATTTTGAGTTCTTAAAATATTAGTACAGGAATTTTTATTCTCATATCAGTTTATCACATAAATCCATCCTGAATTTTAAAATATTCTAATGCCATTTCTATTATACAACAGTAAGATTGAAATGATTATAAATTCTGTTTTAGAAATCTATAGTACAAAAAATAAACTGCAGTATTTTTTCTTTTTCTCCCTAGGCTTGGGAAACAGTGAGACTGGAGTACATGGAAGATGCCACCATTATTTCTTCTTATAGGCAGAAGCTAATCGACTACTTCACCATGCAGCTAAGGTATTAGAAATACCCAGATTGTACTCCTGTGACTTCTGTTACCCCCATTACCTCTGTGTCCTTATTTCTCTTTCTTAACTTATAACTTAATGTATAACATTTAATTATTACAAAAAAAGATTAAATTCTCTCCCTATCTTGTTAATGTCAAAAGGACAAAAGATAATTCCATAAGTCTTTTAACACTACTAGTATACAAAAGATGTAAGCTTAAGTAAAATCAATTTAGGATCACTTTATTACTTTTATTTTATTCCAGTTAAATAGTTGTAAAATATGAGTGTCTGTGTATACCTTTGTGTCCATTTGGGTCCATTGAGGGGTTTTTTAAAATAATTCAATTTTAGGAAAATACCTTTAGAGTTTGTTTGGTGTCTCTGATTACAACTATTTATTTTCTTGGTTAGATTGGTAAAGTTTCTGGTTTTAACAATTGAAGCGTCAGAGACATATGTTAGATACAGTTTTCTTCAGCATCTGTCTGAAGCTTTTGGAAGCGATGTCATGGCAGGAAGGTACTGTTGAGTATTGTCCCTTCTCTTCTACAGTCAGGACCCAGTGACCTGGAGAAGCGCAGATGAGCTCCCATGGCTTTTTCAGCAGCAGGGAAGTAAACAGAGGTTGCACGATTGTCTTCTCAATCTCTTTGTGTCTCAAAACCTTTATAAAAGGTAAGAAACTTATGTGTAGAACATCCTTCCCCAGAAAAACATATTGAAACAGTTGTTCTGCTTAACAAAGAAAAATATAATTTTTAACTTAAAAATTAGTCCAATTTCAGTGCTACTTAAAATATAAAACAGTGTGGGAGGAATGTAAGACAATTTGCAAATTACCATGAGATTTACTTTTTTCCAAGAGAAAAAAGCAAAAAGACAGAATGTGGCTGCTTCATAAAATCAGAGCTAGAATGATCTGAGAGCTTCACACCCCATCTTGCATTTAAGCAGGTTTGACTCTGAGTCACCTAGAGAGGTGTGGTTACGATACCTGACTCTCAGGGCCTTCAGAGACCTCAACGTGTATCTGAGCTCTACAGAGAATCTGACTGGTGTTGAGTTTAAAGAAAGGATTACCCTTTAAAAATAAATATATTGTTTTGTCTTTTCTGGTATATTTGAATTTGCCTGTGTCAGAACCACACCTTATGAACCAAGCTACTGACCTGCTAAGTCTCATGAGGGGATTTTTCTGTCTCACTTAGAAATTTCAAAATTTCTCATAACAGCTGCATAATTTTTTTGTTCCTGAGTGAACTCTCAAGTTTCTTTGTTGTACCTTGTAACTTATTTCTCATCTTCATTCCAATTTTTCATGATTCCTTTGAAATCAGTTTCATTCTTTAGTTTACCAGCTCTCCTTGTTAATATCATCTACAGATAATTAAGCTTACTTTTATTTAATTCCATGATGAAAATACAAAGTAGATATCCTATGACAGTTTGCCTATGTTTCAGTAGTTTCTTCTGTTCTAGTTTCCATCACTTAAAATAGGTTTTTGGATGAACCCAAATTGATTACATATCAGGAAGTGTCTAAAAGAAATTCTAATACATTGCTGTTGATGAGTAACCATAATGATGTTATTAGTAACAATCCACACTATGGAGTATTTCAGCCGTGGGCAAACTACGGCCCACGGGCCGGATCCGTCCTGTTTGAAATAAATAAAACTAAAAAAAAAAAAAGACCATACCCTTTTATGTAATGACTAGAGGCCTGGTGCACAAAATTTGTGCATGGGGGGGTGTGTCC